GCAGGAAAAAATAACTTATTCAAACCACTTAACTTTTCAACAATTGCATTGCTATCCGGGTAGAAACAATATTATTGCCCCTAATCCCCCATCAGCCTTACTTCTTCTGTTGTACTTTAAGTGAAAAGAACTTTCCCTGCACCGTTTAATGAGGTTTCACAATTTAGGTGATCAGCTGTCTTTTATTTCCTTTCAGATTGAGTTTCACTGAACAGAAACGGCCATTTAAACCCCTACAGGATCCTCTGGGATATAAAGTATGCATGAAGAAACATTAATGTAACTGGACATGCTTCAAATTGATAAATTTTTTCAATCTCCCTCCTCCACTTGTTGCTGACAGCCAGCAGGCTAAAAAAGACAGCAATATGTTTACCTTTGCTTGAAGGAAAGATAAATTTAACTCAATTGGTCGCTAAAGACATTGCTGATTATTGAGTGGAAACCAAAGCAGATAGCCTGGTTAGGCTCCCAGGGCTTCTCTGCCAACAGCAGAGGGGGAAAACAGCCACTTTATAAATCAAAATTATTTATAACTCTGATATACTGTAATATTAAGTATATTATATTGCACAAACAGCATTAGATATAATGCTTTTATGTTTTAATTAGAAACATTCAGCCCATTCTATGTTTTATTTTATTCCCCAATGTGACACTTCAAAATTCTGATATTTGTATTTAGTGTTCTTACACTGTGATTCAATTATTAGCTTTACTAATTAATTCAAATGTTTTGGAATAAGTTTTGAAGGTTTACTGTATCATTGACACCCTTTTATCACAAAGTCATTCTTATTTACTAAAATTAACTGGATTGAACACTCTAACTTTGAAAAATGTTTAGTTCCTGAATATTAATTCTCCTTTTAAAACTTCCTGATTAAATGTCAACAAAAAAAGTTGAACATTTTATAGTTGCTTTAAAAGGATTCCAAGAAATACTTCCCCACTTGAAAAAAAAAAAAAACACCATTGAATCCTAGCACTATCATCATGGAATATGCCTTTGCCATCAGTGAAAAAGCAATTCACTGATAAGACATTCATTACATTATTTGGGGGGGGGCACCTAATGCTGTAGAAACTGACCAAATACAGGAACTCCAGATCACCGTTGCCAAAAGGCTAGTTTCTGCTTTCGGTAGCCATGATGGATGCACTACTTCATGCACCTTTTCTTTTCTCTGGAGCTGAGTACGGACTCACCAGACCACATGACCTTCCCCCATCGATCAAGCGTATAATCTGTATGATGTCTGGCAAACTTAGCTTAAGGGTTTTCTTAAGGCTACACAGCTGTTTAGTAATGTGCGACTGAGTTCCAACCATCCTGTGAATGGAAATACTTACTTCTATTGATTTCACTGCACACTTAGAGATCACTAATCATAATCATACTTCTAATTCCTTCTTCTTCAAAAGAGTGGGGGACCCCAACCATTTTCATAGGGGGGGGGGGGGGGGGGGGGGGGGGGGGGGGGCATGCAGGGACCGATGTTACTGCAGGGTGGCTGAACACTGATAAGGGACAATCTGAACTAATCAGACAGTAGAGTGGGCTTTTATCATATTGTTTATTGTTATTGTAATAAGATTTTAAGCCATATCACTCAGCGCTACACAGTCAGACAGAAAATTAGGAAAATATCTGCAATTTTCAAATAAATCATTGAAGACAGACTAAATCTATACACATATTGATACATCTATATTTTCTAAATTAATAGTTTATGGAGCAATTCTCTATATCCCATTACATAGAAGATTCCTACATAACTTGCAGAGACAGGTGCATTTTCATTCACAGAAAATAGTATTTGCTATATTTAATGTGAACAGATTTTTCATAAAGGATGTTTTTTTTCTGACATGGTTGAAATAAGAGCATTCTCACTACATCATTTTAATATCTCGCTGCTAATTGAGCTGTATCATCCATGTGATAACTATGCAATGGGACCCATTTGCCTTACAAATGGTACAGATGTTTGTTCTCATGGGTGCTCATGGTAAGCCATCTTTGTTAAATTCCCCAAAAAAGAAGAAAAAAATCACAATAATGCAGACACATGTCTAAACTTGGAGTTGTAAGTTAACCCAACAGTAATTTAAAATTGAAATGAGAAAAGAATCTAGTTGTTTACCTCCGTTTCTGAGCAATCTGTTGTCAAACCTACATGTGACGGACACAAATCTTACTCCCCACTGTTAGAAGATCAGGAGCAGAGCTAGATGGGGGGCCAGGGGGGGCCATGGCCACCCTTACCTAATCATTGGCCACCCTTGTGGCCACTCCTACCATTTTCCCCTCTAATACAGATGGTGGCAGAAGTAATATTCTCAAATGGAATATTCTAAACATTAAAATTTTTTGTGGTTAATTATACACATCAATATACTAACATCAAAGATAATAAATACAGAATTCATGCTCTTTTTAGAACTACATTTTGTGTTATATGGGGTAAAAGGAAAATGTGTCTCTCTAAGTCATCTGGGAGTCTTCAGTGACATCGTAGATAAATAACAATTTTAATAAAAACGTATCAAATAATTAATTTATTTAGATATTAGTACTTGTAAATATCAATTTTATGCAGAATGTTTATTGATAGAAGTAGGTAAGTAATGACAATGTAACAGATTTTCACCCCTGATCTCAAAACTGAAACAATTTTAATCACTAAATTTCATTTAGAAAGCACGGATGTTTAAATGTATGCATCTACTTGTTAGCAAAGGCTGTAGGAAAGTATAGTTTGTCTTTATTTAGAAAATATGGATGTTTTGCTCGTTAATTTTCCTGTTGGAACAGTGTAGATTGACCCTGAGGTTCTGGTGCCTATCTGCTCCCCACCCCACCCCCCACCCCCCTCAGTGTATATTGGTTAATGCCCGACAGTGGCGGTTCCAGACAAAAATGTACCGGGGGGCCAGGAGAGGGGCCCCCAGAAAAGCATGAAACAAAAAACAGAGCAAGGGATTCAAATATATCAAAATAGCTGCAAAAAGTGAAATTTCTATTCAGTTAGGTTTAATTAAAACTCTATGTCTTATTAGCAATGGCGGCCGGCCCATAGGGGGCGCTGGGGCACCGCCCTCCCTGATAAGAAGAGAGAAACGTAAAATATATTTTTAGAAATTAACTCATAAATGTCAGTTTTACTCTCTAGAGTGTTTACATATAAGCAAAACAAATTATATAAACTACATTTCCCTATCTACTGTCATTAATTTGTGGATTTCCACAGACAGACTCCTACCGTCTCTGTTCTGGGGGCGCTGATCAGACAGACCCACATTTGCAGAGAATCTGTCAATCATGTACTATTGCTAGGTGAATTTAATGGCCAATCAGCGTCTCAGAACTTTATGGTCTTGGGGCGCTGAAAATACTGCGCTTTAACAGGCTTCTGAACCCAAGCGCAGGTGCAGACAATTAAAGGGAAGATGGCGAATGTAACGAACGAGATGCAGCTTCCACCAAATTCGGTGAGATCCTTATTTATCTACCCGTTTGCCAGAAGAACATCCCTGTTGTAGGATATGAACATTTCCTGTCATGGTTATTGTGACTGTGACGAATCCACCTCGTCGCTTAAAACAACCTCTCTAACTTTGCGCGCCACACACACATTCCTGTTATACTGTGTTTGTGAGGACCAATACACTCGCGCTGAGCCAAGTAGCTCCATTAACTTAAAACACACAAGCTGTTCCTGGTTACCTGCTGGCATATTGAGGGTGCACACTTAATATTTCAGTGGGGTTAGCCGTGTGTGTGTGTGTGTGTGTGTGTGTGTGTGTGTGTGTGTGTGTGTGTGTGTGTGTGTGTGTGTGTGTGTGTGTGTGTGTGTGTGTGTGTGTGTGTGTGTGTGTGTGTGTACGTGTTTATGCTACGGGGACTTGTCATCTTCAGTCTGGCTGCGTCTTTGCTGGGTTCAAACCCAGTTTGGTGTAATTGAATAAGTCAATGAATCTGTGTAAAATAATTAAGTTGTAAAAATTATTTGTTTTTGTACATCAATTGTTTGTGGAGGTAATATACGGACAAAACTGATTTATGAGAAGAAATCAGAAATAAGAGAGCCTGAGGGTAGGGGCTTAAACTATTTAATGAGGGCTTTGGGAAGAAAAGCGGCAATTTTTGTTTTCTGTTTCTTTGTTACATTGCTGGTAACTGGAGGGAGGCTGAGGCCCAGAGGATCTTGTACATGTTTAGTTTCTTTTGCACCCTGTTTTGAGTTTTTGAGCACAATAAATCACCAACACCGGTAACCCGACTGAGCCTGGATTCTTGGAGGCCAAAGAACCCCGTCACAGTGACCCAAATCATCACTGTTAGTTATTATATAGTAAATTAAATCATTACTGTTAAATTGTATTTCATTTCCAATTGTTTATTTGAATTCTTATTCCGGATTAGTTGGAGACATACACTAGGCTATATCAGCCCCACCAAAAATATTTTTCACCAGCCGCCACTGCTTATTAGGTCAATACACATTCATAAATGTATAAATTTTACGTATTTTTTGACTTAATTTAAGTTAAAATTACATTTTTATATAAAATCTGATATAGAACTCAAGAAAAACTGATACATTCAGTTGTAAAAATTAGAGTATTTTTTGTTTGTTTGTTTAAAAAAAAAAAAACATTTAGCAGATAAAAACTGGGATCCTATCTCAATTCCACTAAAGCTATCACCTAATTGTTTTTAAATAATTAAACAGAATTTGTAAAGAAACCATGTCCGTCATTAAAATTTAAAAATTATTAAAATTAAAAAGTATTATCTCTTCATTAAAGGGGCCATAACAGGGGCCAGGAAAAGGTTCTACAGGGGCACTGGCCCCCTTTGGCCCCTGTGTATACCCGCCCATGATGCCTGGCCACCCTTATAAAAAAAAAAAATATGGCTACGCCTCTGTAGAAGATGACATTTCTGTTTGTTGAATCAAAGTTCCAGCTGAATAAAAGCAGAGGAAACGTACCGAAGCAGGAGTTGATGAAGCCGTACCAGCTGCAGCCGCCGCGCCCCAGCAGCCACTTTCCCCGGATGCTGGAGGCGAAGCTGAGCGTGGTGCCAAACAAACACACCAGCATGTCGCTGACGCTGATATTCAGCAGCAGCATGTTCACGGGCGTACGGAGCTTCTTGAATTTGCAGAACAGCAGCAGGACAACGAAGTTATTCAGGAAGCCAAAAGTCATGATGAAGCCCAGGACCACGGAAAGCACGACGAAGCCCGCGGGGGAGAGCCTCGCCGCGCCCGCGGACGCGTCCCCCAGCTCCCGCTCATCGCTCTGGTTGAAGCTGTAATTCAGAGCCTCCTGTCCAAAAAACATCCTGCGGTCCATTCATCTAACTCTATCCTTTCTCGTCGGGAGTCTGGCCGCGCAGAATGAAAGAACTGTCAAACTCATTTCATGCGCAAAAAGTTTGAAAAATCAGTGTCTTTCTCAAGTTTTTCCCCGCAAGGATTTGTCTTCCTCTCTCCGGGAGCCTCATGATGCTTTAAAAACGCACCTACCTTTAATAAATTCTGATCAAACAAAGAAAATGTATTTATAATATATCTAAACTGGTTCCAAGAAGAGACCAAAAAAAGCCACCTGTTACCTTAACGCACCACTGAGTGCGCGCAGATCTGTGCAGCTTTTGCATATAAAACAGACATTTCGGGTGAGAAGTCTATTTCATGCCAGTTTAAGTTGAATCGAGCTATTACTGTATTAATGCTTCAGGGGAGTCAGTCATCTTCAAGTGCATTAGAGCTGATTGTAATCCGTCCTCAATGGCATAGACTCCAGCTGGATTAACAGTACAGTGAGAAATGTGGTTTCATCCAACAGCTTTAAAGGCACGGTTGCTCTTACGTGACGACAGACTGGCGTGGCTCTGCCCACAGTCCGTGTGTTTGTGTCTGTGTTGGACAGATGTTTGTTTAGTCATGATTTTCCAATTCATTTCTGTAAACATCTGTAAACAAGGATGCGTAAAGAGAATCAAAAGAAGTACTTATATATTTTGGTAGGGGGGAAAAGCACTAGCTTTATATCCCAACATTTAATAAACATAACCATAAACAGGAAGAAAACCATTGGATGCAACTAAAACAAGTTTCCATGTTATTTGCATGTTTACAAAGATGTTTGTAGAAACAATTTCAAGGAATTTCCCATTTTTTATAACAAATTGAAGTATGGTTTTCATCAGCTCTTATTGGAAATACTTTGGTTACAGTTGATTCAATAAATTAGGGTATAAAATGTGATGGAAAATTTATTTGAATTGCAAAACACATAAGGGCATACATAATGCTTAACTAGTAAGTAATTAAACTTTATAAAACACCCTTCACTGTTTACAAATTTGCATTCTTAAAAGTATAAAAAATAATTGCAAAGGATACTGTAACATCAAGAGTACATCCGTTTTACAAGGATGAGAACTACATTTAAAGCCTATTTAAATGAATTAGCTTGTTTACATTTACCACGACTTCTAGTAAACACAGTAAAGTTTTTTTTTTTTTTCCCAGGGAACCATCCATGCATAAATTACTTCTGGCTATAACAGACAGAAGTTCAGCTGTAAACTAAACAGGAACCAAGATTTAAAAAGAAGAGAACAAACTGCATTCTGGTATCAAACCATAAGAAGAAAGCTGGCTATTCTCAGATTGGGATTGTTATAAACTAAAGTGTGTTGAGGTGTTAAGGGACTGGCCCAAAAAAAAAAAAACAAATCCATGGGAAGTCTTCAAATCCAAAAACCACAGCTGTCCAAAAAGAGAATAAAGAATCATTACATGTTTTTCCTCCCCCCCAAAAAAAAACCATGTTGACCAAAAAACCCAAGACTTTAGGGAAATTATTGTGTGAACTGACGGGACGCAACTGGAACTTTCTGGACATCCATTTTACATCTGAAATAAAAAATAACATGGAATTTCAGAAAAAAAGAACACACCATTAAAAGCCAAGCAGGATGGTGATGCTTTAAGACTTGTTTTCTCCATCCAAAAGCCCAAACAGAGGATGGCTAGCCGTCAGTGTGTGACTGTAAGCTCAGGGAGCACGCCAGGAAGTTCACATTTGAAGAGCTTTAAAAAACAAACAATAAAACAAACATGAGGGTCTCAGAGTGACCTCTTAAAAGGTTCTGACTAAGATGCTGTGGCATGACCTAAACAGGCCAATCCTTCTCAATTTACTCCAATGTGGCGGGATTAAAACAATTAAGCAAGAAAAGTGGGATGACACTTGTTATTATTGCAAACACTTGATGACAGTTTTTGCCACCATACTACTGCTACACAAGCAGTCATTAGGTTTAGAGGACAATAGACGGTGATAACCTTTACACATAGATCACGTCGTTTTGGATCCAGTTTGTCTTTTTTTGTAATTTATAGAAAACATCATAATTTGAAAAGTACTAATCTTATTTACTCTGGTTATCTTTTAATTGTCACAATGATCACTGTCAGCCTTGCTGGCTAAATAAGGTATATTAAAAAAACCTCAAACTTCAACATCCTTTGAACATTTTTTAATCAGTCCAACTTTGGTCAAAGCTGCACAGTCAGTAAAATATCAACAGCTCATAATGTTCTTTGATAGGGAATCTTACAAACAGTTAATTGCCATTATGCCTCTTTGTGTCTTGAACAGCAGGATTATAGAATCGTTGGTGAATTTGCATAATTTTCACAAGAGATGTGGCCTAACTCCACTTAGCAGTAATTACCTTTTGATGCCGATGTAAAGAGAGCATTCATATTTTCAACCAGGTATTCAGTCTCATGCTACTCTGGCTAATTATAAGTGAAGATTGCTGAAGACAAATGTAAATTAGTTTAGTTAATGAAGCTCCACAGGAGGAGTTATTGTTTTAATGATATCAGGTCCAGAGTGAGCAAAGTAAATCTTTATTTTCCTGTTTTTATGCTAATTCCACTCACTAACAGCTGTCAGATGGCCAAACTCCCCTGGCAGATGGGTTGTTCAGAAAAATCACCCCTGAGGGACATCATCGTGCAATTATATAACCCTATTAACCATGTCACAAATATCTAGTGTATGCGCCAGTCATGAATGCATATCATTTAAAATTGTAATATTGTCTCACTGCTTGTGACATTTAATTTTCCTACCAAAGCGGGCTCTTCCGGGTAAGGAAGTCATTTTGAAATGTTTTAAATTTATAAAGTGAAAGCCCTTTGGGAAACTCCTCCAACTCCAATTGTGACACAGCACACACAAGTGAACACTGCACACCATGAAATTGCATTTATGCCTCACCCGTGCAAGGGGGCAGCCCTCAATGGCGCCCCAAGGGAGCAGTGTGGCGGGACGGTACCATGCTCAGGGTACCTCAGTCATGGAGGAGGATGGGGGAGAGCGCTGGTTAATTACTCCCCCCACCAACCTGGCGGGTCAGGAGTCGAACTGGTAACCTTTGGGATCCAAGTCTGACACCCTAACCGCTCACCCACGACTGCCAATAAGATGTTACATCTAATAGTTTTATTCCTTTGTTTGTTTATTTTTTATCATCTCCCCACAACTAGCTAATCATTTAATTTAAAATCAATTACTGATACTGTATACATCCCGTGGAGTTTTAATTGCTTTCATTTTAACCTTGAATCAGAAAAGATTTTCAACCAAATTGTGTTTAAATGTTACCACTGCAACTACTGCATAATTAAAGATAACTGACTGGGTGTAATGTGTTTGCACAACTTAAAACAGAAAATATAATTTCTGGAGGAGTAAACACTCAAAAATGGCTGAAACAAAATAATGTGAACATTTGGCTGGGAAGAAGAGTTTATTACTGTCAGGTTGAGTGGAGGTTTGAAGGACCCTAATGTAGACATGGAAGCTGAGGTGGTTTCTTGCAAGTTTAATATCCAAAGGGGCAACAGAAGCTAAACTCTAGAAACAAAATACTGAAATACAGGGAAAACACGCATGAGAACCAAAATAATGTGGAACCAGCAAAGAGTAACTGAACAGGAGGTGTAAAGATGGGAGACGGACACAAAGGGAGGACAAATTAGCAGTCAAGGAACAGGGGGAAGAAAAATCTAAATCCAGTTTATTTTGAAGTAAGTTTGAACGTACAAGGAATCTAAGCTGGTGTTGATGGTGCAGACAAATTATATATATATATAGAATACATTATGTACAGGTATATACAATATAACACATACAATATACTATATGCATAATATAGTATATAGCTACAGTAGACTGTGTGTTAATGTAACGCAGGAGTTCTGGAGATGCTATGTTGGTGTAGCTTCTAGGTCCTGAACGGGGGAGGGAGAGAGGCAGTGTCAGTGTCACAGGGGTCTCTGGGCCTTGTTGATAAGGCTGGTAGCGGATGGGAAAAAAAATTTCTTGTGGCGTAAGATTCTGGTCCTGATGGTCAACAGCCTCCTGTCAGAGGGAAGTGACTGAAATAGTTTGTGGCTGGGTTGCGAGGGATCAAACACAATCTTCCCTGCACACCTCAGAACTTAGAAGGGAGCTAGGGTGGGGAGACTGACACAAGAGGACAACAGCGGGTAAATAAGAAATACATAAGAACTCAAATACAACCATAAAACATGAAAACTTAAACAGAACCCAAACCATGACAAGTACCTTCCACTCACAAAAATCAACCTATCAGGGTCTATCCAAAAAGTACAAACTGCCTATTTCTGTCGGACCTTCTGTCTTGGTTATTTCATTTTGTACTTTAAGTAAAAAAAAATCATGGTAAAAGATGTTTACCTTATGTTAAACACAGTTATTTGAAAATAGGCGGCATCAGAATCTTTACATCAAATGCATAGCTGCTGCCCAATAAAAGGAAAAAATGTTGTTGCACTTTAAACAAGCTTAGATTATACAAGGTGTTCATTATCTTTTGAATTCTAATGATAATCTTCAACTTGATCAGTGTCCAGCACACATCAATTATCCATAGATGAATTTATCAAGCAGCTAATGTTGATGTCCCTTGCTGGATTTCTGCATACAGGTTTCAAAAATATGGCAAAGAAAATATAGAGCCTTTCAAAATAGATAGGAAACAACAAAGTGATGGCTAGATAATATGTACACACAGCAATTTCCAGCCATTCATTATCCTTCAAAGGCCTCCAGGGGTCAGTGAATGTCCCACCAGACTGTGGGTTAGAGGCCTAGAACACCCTGTTCCCACAGTACTCTGTCAGACGGATTAGCACTCATTCAAACAAACAAACAGCAGCCACCAGGTTAGAAACACTAATAACCTAACCCATCAGCGAATGGTGAAGGAAAGCCAGAGCTTCAGGTAAAAACCCATTCAAGCAAAGTTAGAGTGTGCACATTCTGTGAAGACAAGCCTTCCAGCAGTGCAGGCTGAAGAAACAGCAGGATTAGAAAAGTGACCAGAAAAGAAAAAGGTAAGAAGTGGCCAGGATGTGAGTGAGTGAATTGAAAATTCACAGCAAAAATTTTAGTAAACAATATGGAGAACAGCAAACTGAATTATTTCTATTTACACGTAGTCCAAATAAAATTAAATGGAAATGCATTCCTTGTCCAGACAGTGATTCAGTCAGTGTTTGAGCACAGGTCCACACCAGTCTGTCTCGCTGCAGGAAACGTCTGTCTTTAACAATAAGCTGCATTACTAACTGAGGAGGAGGCAACCAACTGACCAAGTGGCAATGTATGAAATACATTGCACTCCACAAAGAGTTTAGGGTAAAGCCTTACAAACCATCGCATAAAGCGAGCGATGTGCCAGCAGAAGGCAAGATAACGAATGGTAAAGTATTTAGAGATTAAAA